CAGAAGACGCTGGGTTTCATCCCGGGTGATGCTCTGCCAGGCCTCTACTGTAACTGTCTTCAGTTCTTGCTTGTTCTTGGGGCATTTTCCCTTCAGTTTTGTCTTCAGCAAGTGAAATGCATGCTCAATCAGATTCAGGTCAGGTGATTGACTTGGCCATTGAATAACATTCCACTTCTTTCCCTTAAAAAACTCTTTGGTTGCTTTTGCAGTATGCTTTGGGTCATTGTCCATCTGCACTGTGAAGCGGCGTCCAATGAGTTCTGAAGCATTTGGCTGAATATGAGCAGATAATATTGCCCGAAAACACTTCAGAATTCATCCTGCTGCTTTTGTCAGCAGTCACATCATCAATAAATACAAGAGAACCAGCTCCATTGGCAGCCATACATGCCCACGCCATGACACTACCACCACCATGCTTCACTGATGAGGTGGTATGCTTAGGATCATGAGCAGTTCCTTTCCTTCTCCATACTCTTCTCTTCCCATCACTCTGGTAAAAGTTGATCTTGGTCTCATCTGTCCATAGGATGTTGTTCCAGAACTGTGAAGGCTTTTTTAGATGTCATTTGGCAAACTCTAATCTGGCCTTCCTGTTTTTGAGGCTCACCAATGGTTTACATCTTGTGGTGAACCCTCTGGTGAAGTCTTCTCTTGATTGTTGACTTTGACACACATACACCTACCTCCTGGAGAGTGTTCTTGATCTGGCCAACTGTTGTGAAGGGTGTTTTCTTCACCAGGGAAAGAATTCTTCGGCCATCCACCACAGTTGTTTTCCGTGGTCTTCCGGGTCTTTTGACGTTGCTGAGCTCACCGGTGCGTTCCTTCTTTTTAAGAATGTTCCAAACAGTTGTTTTGGCCACGCCTAATGTTTTTGCTATCTCTCTGATGGGTTTGTTTTGTTTTTTCAGCCTAATGATGGATGCTTCACTGATAGTGACAGTTCTTTGGATCTCATCTTGAGAGTTGACAGCAACAGATTCCAAATGCAAATAGCACACTTGAAATGAACTCTGGACCTTTTATCTGCTCATTGTAATTGGGATAATGAGGGAATAAAACACACCTGGCCATGGAACAGCTGAGAAGCCAATTGTCCCATTACTTTTGGTCCCTTAACAAGTGGGAGGCACATATGCAAACTGTTGTAATTCCTACACCGTTCACCTGATTTGGATGAAAATACCCTCAAATTAAAGCTGACAGTCTGCAGTTAAAGCACATCTTGTTCGTTTCATTTCAAATCCGTTGTGGTGGTGTATAGAGCCAAAAATGTTAGAATTGTGTCAATGTCCCAATATTTATGGACCTGACTGTATTACTTGTACATCCTTCTTTAATACCATATCTTCCACAAAAAGTTTATTTTTGCTGTTAGTTAGACTTGTGCAATCGTTAGGAGGAATTTTAGATAATTTGTCTTCAAAAGTATTTCAATTAATTGATTTTTTGGGATTCCTTCCTTGAACAGGTCTCTCAAAGTCATGCCACAACATTGGAATTGAGTCCAGATCTTGACTTGGGCTTGGACACGCCAAGATACACATTCACTTTTGTTTAAGGCATTTGGTTGTTTTTAAAGTACTCTTGTGTTTTGGGCCATTTAATTTTTGTTTACTCAAATTGTATTTATCTTGAGATAACAGATGTTGCTGATAAAATGTAAAATGCATGCAATTTTGAAAATATATTTCCCTCAATAATAGCAAGCTGCTCAGACTGTATATCAGCAAATTAACCTCCGCTGTTAATTACAGCTGAGATGAGGTTTTGGTGTTAATATGTTATACTTGTAGCATTCACCCCCGAAGGAGCCACTGGAATTAATGGGCACTTCTGTCCCTGCTTCATTGATGAACCATATATATATATATTGGATCCACAGCACAACAGTACACCTTGTGGGAAGTTTTATAACAGGTTTAATAAGACAGATAAAACTCTGCAAATAGACTACAAATAAACTTGGAAATAGCAGTTAAATGCACTGAATACACAAACCTTCTAGAATTGGCACAATAACATCAATAAACACAATGTTCATATATATACATATATACTGGTATAGCTATAGATCAGTATTACCCCCTGCAACTACAGCAGCAATATGTCCCCAGCTAAACTGACATCTCTTTAGACTCCCAAATTAACTTGTATACTGTGGGATTGTACACTGTGTGAGTCTGTGTGTTGCACAGGCCTGTGTTAGTGAATTGGTGGAGCGCTCTTAAGGACTGACATGTCACTGGTTAGCAGTTGTTCATCACATCTAAGAAGAACAGTCTCCAGGGGTTAACTCCTTGAAGGAATGATGAATGGGGCTCTGTCTCTCTGCTAGTTTTTCTTTCTGTTGTCAATTGTTGGTGCTGCACAATCTCTGAGGTGCCTCACCTGGGATGGTCACAAGCCTCCTCCTCTGCGATTCCCAACACTCTGACCTCTCTCTGTGGTGGGAGATGTCGTTGCTGTCAGTAACTGCAGCCACAGCTGACTGATACCAATGATCACAGTTGCTGACTTCAGCTGCTGTAGATAACTGTTGTCCTTAGCAAGCTCTGCTGTTCTGGAAACAGTGTCAGTGTACTTCAACAGTAGGGGCTGCAGACTAGCTCCCACATGTCCTCTGCAAAGGCACACGTGGCTCCTCCACCCCCTTCCTCCTTGCAAACCATCCTGGTCTTATAGTTCTGTGCAGTATAAAGTGACATTGTCTGCCTCTGTAATGAAACTGCAACTCCCACAAACACTCCATTACTGCTGAGAGCTGAGCCAATCAAACCCTTTCTGACAACATGCAGTCTTAAAAGGGAAACAGCTCTTTAAAAGGGAAACAGCAATGGCCCCGCTACATACTTTTTTACGTTCCTTCTCTGCTAGAGTTACATTACAGTGTGAAACATCCAGGTAGCCTTTGGCAAACTTTAGGCCTGCAGGATAATGCTTTTGGTGAGCAACACTGTGGCATGCTATTCAAAAATCTGCAAGTCCTTTCTTATAACCCTATGGTTCCTTTTCACTTCTTTCAGCATTGATGAACTACTGCTGACCAGATGCTTACTCTTAGAGTAATTAGAACATTATGCATTCATACAATATTTCTTTAAAGTTCCTCTGAAAATCCTTTTTTGTTCAATATATGTTTGTTAAAGGATTTTACAACAAGAGAATAAATAATCAGCAATAAGGCCACTAATGATCAAAAGGATAAATGCAGCATGAGTAACAAATATGTTTCAGCAGACTCATGAAGAACATTATCACGATACATCTACTGAGTAAACATATTGACAAAATATAATAATGAAAGGTTCACATTAGAATGCTGTTGCGTCATAAAGAAGAGGAGGGTAGAAAAAGGGGAAATAAGAATGTGGAGGATAGGCAGAAGATACATGGAGTTTCTGATCAAATACATTATGGTTATCCATTGTAATATATACCAGTTCACATAAATACATATTATGCAGGCTTAGAGACAATATCTATGACCGTCTCCGCTCTGCCCACCGGGTACCACCGACCTGCCTGCCTGCCCAGGGCCCTCCCCATTAGCCCTGGGTCCTCGTTTACTACCCTGGACCACCTGGAACAGCAAGCAAGGACCACCAAGCTGACAGCAGCCCAGGACCACCCCAGGATACCTGCACGGCAGCACCACCAGAACGGGTAAGCTGCCACCACCGATCCCCACAGACCTGCCAGCCTCCGCAGGGCCCTCCCCACTAGCCCTGTGTCCATCCCTGACCACCAGGAACCGGCTCAGGCCCACTGATCGCTGCTCCGCTGCCCAACCCATACATTGGTTCTGGGCCCACCCCTGGACACCCTGCACCCAGCTACCGGGCACCCAGCTACCACCCCTGGACACCCAGCAACCGGGCACCCAGCTACCGGGCACCCAGCTACCACCCCTGGACACCCAGCTACCGGGCACCCAGCTACCACCCCTGGACACCCAGCTACCGGGCACCCAGCTACCACCCCTGGACACCCAGCTACCGGGCACCCAGCTACCACCCCTGGACACCCAGCTACCGGGCACCCGGCTACCACCTCTGGACACCCAACACCCGGACCACCCAGCGAATCAAGACGTCGCCCAGCGAATCTCCCGGACCACCCAGCGAATCTCCAGTCACCGAGCCGCCAGCATCACCAGACGCCGTGCCTACCAACACCCCCAGACATCGCACCCTACGACCCCTCCACTCGCCGATCCACCGGAACCACTGAAGACACCTCGGACGCCAGCATACTGCACCCACAGATTGCAGCTACAGAAGGACTCTAGTGGACTCCTCCACGGTGATACAGACTCTCCACATCACCTCGCCCTGACCCGTATCCCTTCACCTCCCCTGACCCGAACAGCACTGCACTCACCCCAGCATGCCACCTGCACTTCTCCTCCTCGTTTTCCCTCTCCTCCATCCCAAAAATCACCTCGCTCTACCCGCCCACCCCCCCAAAACAGCTCTACATTGCCCCTTCACTTCTGCCCTCTCCCCACTACGGCACTCACCACCTCCTCCTGGTACTCCACTCCCCGGTTGACCCACGTGCCACCACTACCAGACCCACACGCTCCTACACCTCCCATTCTCATGCCACCCTCCTCACCCTTCTCCTTCTCCTATCCGCTGGGGACATCTCCCCGAACCCTGGCCCCTCACCACCTCTCCCCCCCTCCAGGAACCCCCCCTCCAGGGACCCCCCCTGCCCCCGCCAGCCGCCGCAACCCCCTCAACCTCATACCTGTGCACCTCCTCCCCGCATCCATCCCCCCTCTCTCGGTTGCACTTCTGAACGCCCGTTCGGTTTGCAACTGCCATCCATGACCTCTTTATCTCCCGCTCCCTCAACCTCCTAGCCATCACCGAAACCTGGGTACAGGCCACTGACACTACCTCCCCTGCGGCACTCTCCCATGGAGGTCTCGTCTGGTCCCATTCACCAAGACTGAGCGGTCACAAAGGTGGTGGTGTCGGCCTGCTCCTATCACCGCTGAGCACCTTCCAGGTCCTCCCTAACCTCCTCCTTCGAGGCTCACTGCATCCGGCTCTTCTCACCCACCCCCCTAAGGATCGCAGTGATCTACACTCCCCCCCCCCCGGATCTATAGCCCGCTTCCTGGATGACTTCGCCGCCTGACTTCCCTTCTTCCTCTCCTCTGAGCTACCGACCATCATCCTCGGGGACTTCAACATCCCCATCAACGACAACACCCCAGCTACCTCCCAACTCCTCCACCTAACCTCCAGTCGTGCGCTGGAGAGACTATGGCGCAAAAAACCAGGTCCCCTCATGCATTCTCCCTCTACGCCGCCAAGCAGGCCTACTTCGTTGACCTGATCAACACCCTCTCCACCTGCCCTCGCCGACTCTTCTCCACCTTCAACTCCCTGCTCTCCCCCCCCCCCTCTCCTCCACTCAGTACCTCACTTACCGCCCACGAGATTGCCACTCATCTCCACAACAAAATTGACGCAATCCGCAAGGACATAGTCAACTTGCAATCTACCTCCCCATCTAGCCTTCCCCCTTCCATCACCCCCTCATCTCTCCCCTCCTCTGACCTCGCAACGGCACTGCCCCCCACCACACCCAAGGCCCTGCCTACCGTAACCCCCCCATCACTGCACTCCTTCAGCCCTACTACCACTGAGGAAGTCACCAGAGTCTTCTCAGAAGCCCGCCTCACTACCTGCCCCCTGGACCCTATCCCCTCTCAACTCCTCCGGTCACCCCCCTCTTCCCCCTCATCCGCTCCCTTACCCACATCTTCAATCTCTCCCTCTCTACTGGCGTCTTCCCCTCCCCCCTAAAACATGCGCACATCACCCCCATACTCAAAAAGCCCCCCCTGGACCCCACTGACCTCAACAACCTCAGACCAATTTCCCTGCTGCCACTCACTTCCAAGCTCCTTGAGCGCTTGGTCTTCGATCGCCTAAGTGCCCACCTAACTGACAGCAACCTCCTTGACCCACTACAGTCCGGCTTCCGTCCCCTACACTCCACCGAAACTGCCCTCCTCAAAATCACCAACGATCTAATAACCGCCAAAGCCAAAGGCGACTACTCTGTCCTCCTTCTCCTAGACCTCTCCGCGGCCTTTGACACAGTCGACCACCCCCTCCTCCTTAATAAGCTACTCTCCCTTGGCATCAGAGACACCGCTCTCTCTTGGTTCTCGTCCTATCTATCCCAACGCTCCTTCAGCGTTTCCTACAACGATGTCACCTCCTCTTCCCTCCCCCTCTCTGTTGGGGCCCCCCAGGGCTCTGTCCTTGGACCCCTTCTCTTCTCCATCTACACCTCCTCCCTTGGCAAACTCATACACTCCCACGGCTTCAATTACCACCTCTACGCTGATGATACTCAAATCTACCTATCCACCCCTCACCTCACCCCCACATTCTCCGCCCGCATCACTCACCTCCTAAACGACATCTCTGACTGGATGTCGCTCCATTTCCTGAAGCTCAACCTCTCCAAAACCGAGCTTCTCGTCTTCCCCCCAGCCCCGCCCCCCCCCCCCCATCCTTTCCATCTCTACCAACACCACCACCATCAATCCCGCCTAGCAAGCCAAGGTCCTTGGCGTCATTCTGGACTCAAACCTTTCCTTTCAACCTCATATCAAATCACTCACAAACACATGCAGGCTCCACCTCCGGAACATCGCCAAGATACGCTCCTTCCTTACCCCAGACCCCACTAAACTACTCGTACACTCCCTGATTATCTCACGCCTTGACTACTGCAACTCCCTCCTCACCGGCCTACCCCAGTGCAAACTCTCCCCGCTTCAGACCATCCTGAACTCAGCTGCCAGACTCATCCACCTCACCAGCCGCTCCACCTCTGCCACCCCCCTCTGCCTCTCCCTCCACTGGCTCCCCATTGCCCAACGCATTAAATTCAAATTGCTCACCCTGACCTATAAGGCCATTCACAAGACTGCCCCTAACTACCTCACCGACCTGATTCCCAGGTACCACCCTACCCGTACCCTTCGCTCTTCACAGGACCTCCTTCTATCTTGCTCCCTGGTCTCCTCCTCCCATGCACGACTGCAAGACTTCTCCAGGTCCTCCCCCATCCTCTGGAACTCACTACCCCAATCCACCAGACTGTCACCTTCCCTCCTCACCTTCAGGCGCTCCCTGAAAACCCACCTCTTCAGGGAAGCCTACCCCACCCTCACCTAACAGCCGCTGCCCTTCCCTCCTCCTACCACTCCATCCCCCACAGCCATTTCCTCCTGCACCACTACCCCCTCCCTCCTAGATTGTAAGCTCGAAAGAGTAGGGCCCTCTTACCCCTCGTGTGCTGTTTGATGTTACTGTACTGTTTCATGTATTGTCCCCCCCTCTATTTTACAGCGCTGAGCAAACCCTTTGGCGCTATATAAACTAGATAAATAAATAAGTGTTAGATGTTTTGATAAAAGACTAACAGGCCCATATTTTGCTATGGCAATTAGGGGAATCATGTTTAATCTTTGCACGTTCTTCCATAAAACATACAGTATACTGTCAATTTTCTGAAACCACTGAGCAACAGAAGTGACAGACTTCTAGTGTGAGGGTATTAGAAATTTGGTTTTAATAGGAAGATGCAGAGAAATTGAGCAATTTTATTGACCTAATAATTTGTACAATGAAACAACACATACCATGGACTTAATTTGATAATAGAGCCCTTGATCTTCAATCAACATTATTACCTCACTCCAAAAAGGAGAATACCACAGACTCTCCAGCAGTAGGGTAAACAGTCCAGAAACATAGAGTGAAGCTTGGCTGGGGTATAGTGTCATCTAGTTAAGAGCTTATAATTTACCTCCCCCATCTTAGAAGCTATTGAAAGTATATTAGAAAGTTAAAGATTTGAGTTTTGATCATCTGATTCCTTAAGTAGGATTCCCATTGAGATAGAAAATCTGGATATGAAGTTCCTTATAGGCATAAAACAGCTTAATCAAGCAGGGATATACAGCACATTGGTGGATTGGTGGAGGAAAGGATAAACTCAAATAGATTTAAGTCTTTCAGTGACCTAATTGGTTTAGGGAAAGCTAGTACAAAATGCTATAATTGAGAGTATCCTCAGCTGTCCATATGTGTTATTGAAATGAAGCCAACGAGGGCCATTAATGGTAAAAGGGTTAAATCCTTAAGAACAGGTTGTAGTAGGAGAGGGCAATGTGATGGCTAAGGATGTTATGGTCAAGGGAGAAGTAAGGGTTGAGAGGTTTTGGTATGACTTAGTTATCCATGGTATGGTGGAAAGTGAAGCATTACTCAAATCTGATCCTAGTTTGACTCAAAGCTTGATATGATAAAGTTATTCTTTGGCAATTCTAGTCAGCACCACCACTTAATATTACTTTTTAAAATCTGAAGTGCTAAGCCCCCATCTCATTTGGGTTTAGACAGGATGCCACAAGAGGGTCTTGGATTTCTCCTGTTCCACACATATTTAGTTATTAGGAACTTCACCAGACTCCAATAAAATATTCATTTTAATTAAGTTGATTTTTCTTAACCAATACTGACACAATGTCGATAAATCAGGGAGAGAGATCCGAGGTTTCTTAATATATATTAAATATCACCTACCTAAGCTACTTATGAGTCTTGTCTCCTATTATAACACCATGTTTGGATTGTGCTGAACTGTGGAGAGAATAGGTTTTAGGGAAATGGCAATTAGTAAAAGGGAAAATGGACATCCTTTTCTGGTCCTATTGTTCAGAACAAAAGGATGCCTGTCAAATGCATTTTAGCATCTGTGGAGAGAAGTAGAATAGACTGGGATTATTTGCCAATGTAAGCTATAAGGGACAATATTGTCAGGGAATTATCCCTAGCTTGCTTGCCAGAAACAAAGCTAATCTGATCTGGGGAGATCCATTGCAGAAGACTTTGGTGTACAGCTTTTCTATATTGAGTAAGGAAATAGGTCTATAACTGCCACACAGCAAGTAGGGTCCTTGCCAGGTTTAGGTGAAACTGTAATATGAACACACAAAGCTTCCGGTCTAATCTTCTCTCCTTCCACAATAAAGTTAGCATACTTTGTTAGATGAAGGATTAAAAAGTCAACATCTTATAGTATGCAATTGTAAAGCCTTCAGGTCCAGGAGCTTTACCAAAGGCCATGCGTTTAATGTTGAGAAAATGTTTTCTTCACATACTGTATCTGCTAAATTGGATTGTGTTAAATAGTCTAGTGAATATACACTTGTTGTCTTTTAAATGTCCTTTTGATCAGTGCATGTTTAAAAGAGAAGTTCAGGATTCTAAAACAAAACATTTGCACTCACCTAGGTGGAGCAGTATTGGTCCGATCTGGGTGGATCCCAACAATAAAGTTGGGATCTTTAAAGAGCCTGAACCAGCTCTGTGACTTCAGCTGACAAGTGGACTTGTCACAACCCACTGTGGACTGAAAACAGGTCTCAGGAGGGCTTTGGCCCTACATCTTTTTTAATGCAAATGTTTATTGAGCAAACTGTCAGTAACCAAACTTTGGATGCCTTTTTATAGGGCCAGAAACTTCACATCTCATATTCATGGAATATGTCCTATTGCTTTATTTACAAAATGTTAGTTCAAATACTGTACTTTCCATTCAGGGCAATGGGAGTGATTTACTAAAGAAGTAAAGGCTATTCGCTTTGCAGAGTGAATTATAGTAAATAAGGCACACCTGCCTTCAGCATAAATAAGAAAACATCTCCAAAGGGGATTGATGTAGAACACGATTGTTTATTGAAGTGAGCACAGCATCTTTTTTTTTTTTTGCTAAACCCAGTTAACAGTCACAGTCACTTTCCAAAATGAACATTTGTTCTAGTATGGAAACAGTCCCTATTCTTTTAGTAAATCAACGTTATTGGCTGTTTAACTACATACTAAGTTTAGAAATGTCTTTTGTTAAAAAATATAAAGTGTTATGATAACTTATCACTATCTAAAAAATGTTGGATAATAAAGTTAGATATGGTGAGTTAGAACTGAGTAAAAACATTGATACATTGATTCAGAATTGTGTGGATTCAAAATACACTGCTCAAAAAAATTAAAGGAACACTTTGAAATCATATCAGATCTCAACGGGGAAAAATATCATGCTGGATATCTATACTGATATGGACTGGGTAATCGTTTAGGAATGTAAGGATGCCTCATCGTTTGATGGAAATGAACATTATCAACCTACAGAGGACTGAATTCAAAGTGAAAAATGATGCAGCAGGCTAGTCCATATTGTTGAAATTTCATTGCAGCAACTCAAAATGGTACTCAGTAGTTTGTATGGCCCCTATGTGCTTGTATGCATGCTTGACATCGTCGGGGCATGCTCCTAACGAGATGCCGGATGGTATCCTGGGGTATTTCCTCCCAGATCTGGATCAGGGCATCACTGAGCTTCTGAACAGTCTGAGGTGCAACCTGGCGGTGTCGTATGGACTGAAACTTGATATCCCAGAAGTTATCTACTGGATTGCTGTCAGGCAAGCTTAGAGGTCATTCAATGGTTTCAATTCCTTCATCCTCCAGGAACTGTCTGCATACTCTCGCCACATCAGACCGGACATTGTCATGCACCAGGAACCCAGGAACCCAGGAACCACTGCACCAGCATAGGGTCTGACAATGGGTCCAAGGATTTCATCCCAATCTCTAATGGCAGTCAGGGTGCCATTGTCTAGCCTGTAGTCCAGACCATCACTGACCCACCACCAAAACGGTCATGCTGAACGATGTTACAGGCAGTATAACTTTCTCCACAGCTTCTCCAGACTCTTTCACATCTGTCACTTGTGCTCAGGGTGAACCTGCTCTCATCTGTGAAAAGCAAAGGTGACAGTGGTGGACCTGTCAATTCTGGTGTTCAATGGAAAATGCTAATCAAGTTCTATGGTGCAGGGTAGTGAGCACAGGGCCCACTAGAGGCCCTCAGGCCACCCTCATGAAGTCTGTTTCTGATTGTTTGGTCAGAGACATTCACACCAGTGGCCTGCTGGAGGTCATTCTGTAGGGCTCTGGCAGTGCTCATCCTGTTCCTCCTTGCACAAAGGAGCAGATACAGGTCCTACTGATGGGATAAGGACCTTCTACAACCCTGTCCAGCTATCCTAGAGTAACTGCCTGTCTCCCAGAATCCCCTCCATGCTCTTGAAACTGTGTTGGGAGACACAGCAAACCTTCAGGCAATTGCACGTATTGATATGCCATCCTGGAGGAGTTGGACTACCTGTGCAACCTCTGTAGGGTCCAGGTATTGCCTCATGCTACCGGTAGTGGCACTGACCCTAGCCAAATGCAAAACTAGTGAAAAACAGTCAGGAAAGATGAGCAGGGAAAAAAATGTCAAAGGCCTCCCCTGTAAAACCATTCCTGTTTTGGGGTCATCTCATTGTTGCCCATCTAGTGCACCTATTGTTAATTTCATTAATATCAAAGCAGCTGGAACAGAATAACAACCCCCTCTGCTATTTAACTGACCAGATCAATATCCCAGGAGTTTAATTGACTTGATGCTATACTCTGATTAAAAAGTGTTCTT